CGGACCTTCCTTGGCCTCTCTCCGCCGCCAGTGGAGACCGCGGCGCCCGGCGCTCCCCTCCCTGGTCGCGGCCTCGTCCGCCCCACGCGCCCCGTTGCTATAGCGCTGGCCACCGGCGGCGAGTGAGGCTGAGAGGAGGAGGATGATGATGATGACGACGACGACGACGGAGGGGCCTCCACCCTTTCTCCCCCCCCCCCCCGGCACAGGGCTGTCCTCTGCCAGAGAGAGGATGCTGAGCAACATGCAGATCGACCGACCCTCCGTATTCCTCTATCATGGGCTCCTCCCTCCCCCCCCCCCCCGGCACAGGGCTGTCCTCTGCCAGAGAGAGGATGCTGAGCAACATGCAGATCGACCGACCCTCCGTATTCCTCTATCATGGGCTCCTCCCTCCCCCCCCCCCCCGGCACAGGGCTGTCCTCTGCCAGAGAGAGGATGCTGAGCAACATGCAGATCGACCGACCCTCCGTATTCCTCTATCATGGGCTCCTCCCTCCCCCCCCCCCCCGGCACAGGGCTGTCCTCTGCCAGAGAGAGGATGCTGAGCAACATGCAGATCGACCGACCCTCCGTATTCCTCTATCATGGGCTCCTCCCTCCCCCCCCCCCCCGGCACAGGGCTGTCCTCTGCCAGAGAGAGGATGCTGAGCAACATGCAGATCGACCGACCCTCCGTATTCCTCTATCATGGGCTCCTCCCTCCCCCCCCCCTTGAAGAGAAATCTCTCCTAGGGAATTTGAAGCAGGGCCTCTGGGCACCTCCGGGCATGGCCTTGTCTTCGCCTCTTGTTCCAGCCCCATTTCCTGCTACCTGTCAGGTTTGGGCTCTCAACGGGAGGTCAGAGTGGTAGGTGTCCAGGCGATGGGGTGACTCAGAAGGCAGGGCAGCCAAGTGTGTACCATGTGTGGCACTTTGGGGGGGGGGACCTCTGAGTTCTCCTTTTAACAAGCCAGACACTCCCCCTTCTCCTTTTAGGGTCCTTGGCCTAAAGGAGTCAGGCTTGGCCCTGCGAAAGAGGTGCTGCTCAACTTTATCACCAAATTAAAATAAAAGGCATTTGGAAAGATATTGATATCTATTTTAATTATGAACCAACTCAAAATGGATCACATAGAGAAAATCATTGAAGCCACATACTAATAAAACATATCATGAAAACCTATACCTAAGGCATGGATGTATCAATAGTATTTGTTAGACTTTGAAAGAGAATTCCACTCCCAAGCCTTAAGATAGCCTAGGAGACCATTTGTCCTTCAACCCCTCTTAAGGCCTCAGTCCCATAAAAGGCACAGAAATCTAGGAATTCTTCAGAAAAGGAAAGGCTGGAAACACCAGGAACAGCCAGGAGTGAAACATTTTAGAGAAGGAATGACCGTCCCGTTAACTGCTCAAAGGATCTGTGGGAAAAGGCCACCAAAAGGAGCAGGAGAAAAGGCACCTCGCCACAGAGAGCCGCCTGTGATGCCCCACTGGGACCGTCCACCCAGAATGCCCACCCAGGCTCCCTGCTCAGGCTCCCTGCTGCAAATCCCAGGAACCTAAAGCCTGCAGGTGACAGCCTCGAACAGAGCGACTTGCATTCTGGAAAACAGGGCAGAACTTGCAATGAAGGCAATGAGAAATCTCTAGGCTGCAGGCACATGGCAGTTCAGCCTGCTCTTGCGTGTGCAGTGAAAACCCACCCAAAGAGCCAAGGAAGGAAGCACCGCTGGTTTCCTTCCAGGCGCTGCAGTGCCAGAGAGCGTTAAAGAAAAAAACCCTGAGAATGGCAGAGGCAGACTCGGGCACAGCCAGGCCACCTTCACCAAAGGGCCCTGAGATCCCTCTGGACCAGGGAGCAGTCGGGACACTCCTCGGTCTCTCTTTCTGTCCCTCACACACACACACACACTTTCTTCATCTTAAGAACTTCCTCACTAACACTCGAGTTGAGTAGCACTCCATTCCCTCACTCTTGACAGAACATCGGAACAGCAAAGGGAAATGCCTTTTTTTTTTACACAAGCACCCCGCAAACCCTCCAAAACCTCTCACACCCTATGATCCTCAAATTAGTGGAAAAATGGCAGGGTATCCTTCATTTCCGAATAAAAATAAAAACCTCTGTCCCACCCCTTTTTTGCCACGAACCTCCAGCCGCCCCTCCTCTCCTCCTTCCAAGCTGTGAGGTGAATCAGTTGCGTTCTGAGTGCAAAAAAGGATACTACTTGGGGGTATTCTGGAGAAGGATCAGCACCAGATGTGGAGGTCCCCCTTGGGGAATACAGAGCCAAGGCCTTCGCTTCTCTCTTCCATGGCGCTCTCAAGACATGCCAACAGCGGAAGCCGTCCTCCAGGCCTCACTGGTCCACACCGAAAAAAGGAAGGAGGAGCAGTCCCTCTGGAGACTTCCCTCCAGAGAAGGACGGGGTGGCCCTCTTTAGAACTGGACCCAGCTGGAGTTCTGCTGAGCCTGGCTAGAGAAAGACCTGCAAGATGGCAGAGACAGACATCACCCATCAGCAGGTGGGATACAGGTCTTTCTCCTGAACAGGTAGTGATGGAAGATGAGGATGATTCCCTCTACGGGCAATGATCTGCACGTTATATTCTGTCATCACATGAAATACAGTGGCAACGTTTCAGCCAGCCAGAATCCAGGGCAAGAATCCCCCAGTATCCAGGGATATGGTAGGAGAGGGTGGTTTGCAAACAGAAGAGCCAGGAGGGGGAAATGTGTCACTCCCTCTAATATACAAATAAGTCCATGTTTTTCTCTCATAATTTGTGAATTGAAACAACCTTACGCTGCAACTGTCCAGATTTAACCATGAAGCTTGGCGTTGTTCTTTGCCATCATTCAACTCTGAAACTTAGTTTAGAAATAAAACATGAAGACCATTCCAGAGCAGTGTGTGAACTGCAAATAGCTGCCGTTTTGTTTGTACCTGCTTGCTTACATCAGCAGTGCTGGTCAACGTCCCCTTGAGAGGCGAAGGAAGGAGGAATCGCCTGGGAAGGGAAGCATAGTTTCAGCCATCCAAGCAAGAAAAGGGTTTAAGGGATACATGGACTCACCCAGAGGCTTTGGTGAAGTCTCCCCATATGTCGGCAGCATCTTCTCCTGTGGACACCCGGGACTCCTGAGGCCAAGGCATGGAGGGATCTGCTGACAAAGTGGGGGATGGGGTCAGGTTGATGACTGTCCCTGTGGTGAACCTTCATAAAACCGCTGGCCTTTAGATGAGAAAGGTGCCATTCTCTGGTGGGAGGGAGGGGAGGGGACATGAGCTTATTAGGCCACACATTAGGATGTTCCATAAATGCTCCCACAAACACACACACCACAACCTCTGTGATGGATCTGCTTTGGGACTACTAGGCAGGATACTGTGGTTTTTTTTGGGGGGGGGAGTTGTAAAGTTTAAACAGTGGACCATTGGCCAAGGAGGCAGCACAAGAGTTCCCTGGGCTCTCATCTCCACACAACCCCTTTGAGGATGCTGCTTGGGAGAATTCTCCAGGGATCCGTTCAGTGGTACAGTCAACCAGATGAGTTCCTGCAGAGGATGGAGTAAAAGGAAATACCGACCTGCTTCAGCACCACCTGCCTGGGAACCTGTCAGCTGGGGTGGTGGATGATGTTCCTCCCCAGGCAGTGGGACAAAGACCGGGGTCTTGCTTCCTGGTGGGGGTGGGATCAGGCCAGCACCTCCCAAGCCTGCCGACCGTGACCGGGTCCCTGAAGAGCCTTCCTTTTTCTTCACATTCTAGAAACAAACCAAAACACATTCAGCTTGCCCAGCAGAACACAGGAGGTCTCACCAATTCCCCAGGAAACCCCGTGTCCACTACGGAGGATTCCCTTGCCCCAAGGAAAGGCCAGCCCAAGAGCAACGAGACAGGCTGGATGCTGGCCCAGCCCTATCTGCAGAGCACAGTGAAGAAGAAACCACCCCTGCCTTCCCTTTGAGGCTTCAAACTCTCTGCACTCAGACTAGGCAGCTGAGATGAAGCAACGACAGTCCTCTGGGCATTCAAGGGGTTCTCTTTGCTGGCAGCAGCAATCCAAGGTCTTCTGGCAGCCTCAGTGAGGAGCTTCAGGTGCCGCCCCCCCCCACTCACTACAGGCCACACTTAAACAAAGGGTACCCTTTGGAACCAATGTATCTCAGGCTAAGAAATAAGTGTAGACACAATCTGTGGTGCAGCAAGTCATGTCACTTTAGGTCTCTACACGGACTTAACTCGAGGCACTTCAGGTACAGAAAAGTATGCCTCATACTTCATGCCGCTAAAGATACATACGCCTCTCCACACACTTTAAAGACAAATGCTCTTTCCTCCCCCACCATTTTCTAGATCCTTTGTTTGAAAAAAAAAAAACAAGATCATATGGGCTGGCTAATCTACCATGTGGCCAGATACAAAAAGGCTGTGTCCCCTCTGGGGAGAGGCTGGTCAGCATCTGAGAAAAAAACAGCTTTAATGAGTAGAGAATTTGTGAATGGTGCTTTGGAAATCAGCCAGACAGTGCCCCTCCTGAGGGAATGGCCATGGCACAGGGGGTTCCAATCTACTGCAGGCCTTCTTCCTGGACCATCAGGCCTTCTGCACACTGCCACCCACGATCATGTAGAGTGTTTCAGTCTCATAAACTCCTCCATCCTCTGACTGCCTGATCGCTCAGTGCTGAAGGCAGCAGAACCAGCCCCGAGATGCTGCTCACCGCAATGCTGAGCTTGATGGTCTCTCCTTCTTTGAAGCCTAGATCCAGTTTGGGCCCCTGGTCTGGATTCTGGGCCTGTTTGGCCAGCTCACTTTGCTGCTTGACCCACCTGCAAAGAAGACAACTGAGAGGATCAACACAGCCGAGGGAAGTGGAGGAGGGTTCCACCTTGAGCAGGAGAAGGAGCACTCACTTGAAGTGGTCCTGAAGTGCCACGTTGAAGTCAAAGGCATCCCCTCGGTCTACAAATCCAACTCCAATAAAAGCCCGTCGGCCTGCAAGGAAAGTTGGGTTCAGGCATTAGCTACAACATAATGACCAAACAGGAAGCATCCCGTAAAAAGGAGAAGGCAGGAGCAATGCAGCTGAAGACTAACTAGGAGGCAGGTGGGCCAAAGCAGGCTCTTCCCTCCAGCAAACCTGAAGACATCCCATCAGGATGGATGCAAAGTGGGGAGAGGTCAGTTATAAAGCTACCATTGAGGGAAAGAACTGGGAAGGAACATCCTAGCAAACAGAGAAAGGGGGAAATCACACACGTCCCCAAAGGCCACTTCTGCAATGCTGCAGTTGAGACTGTTCACCCTTGGTGCCACATGCCAATGAAAGAGCAAATTAGGCTCAACATGGAAAGGTCCCAAATCCCACCTACCTGCCCAGGCAGAGCTTTGAACCCAAAGGCAGGTGGCTTGTTTTGGACCACGTCAGACTCATCTCCAGCCCAGCAAAAGCATGAAACAGATGCACCCAGCACTGCACACCAAAAAGGACTAGATCCGAACCTCCACGCCCATACCATTCCCGTCCTCGATCCGGATGACAAAATACCGACTCGAGTCTGTCACACCTTCCACAGCGATGCTAGGAAACTGGTCTACGGGTGCCTGGGCAAACAGTTCTCCTGGGAGGAACAAAAACCAGAAGGTGAGACAGCCGTTCATCAACCACGTGTCATTACCCCCCCCACACACACACACACAGTGTTTTCTGCCTTGTAATCGCTCCAGGCGTTTCCCAGCAGTAAGGGAGCCAGTAGCTTTGTTTCCCTTCACACTTCCTCACTTGTATTCCAGTTTAATTTTGTAAAATGCTTACTTATGCACTTATTTAAAACAATAATAATACCTAATTATTATTTTTTTATAATGCAGCAGTAGTTTTGCATCAACACTGAATACTATTGTACAGTACCTACAAAAACTAACGCAACTAGGAAATACTGACTTTCTTTCTCCTGGATGTTCGCCTTTTAACTGTGGGAAACACAGAGTGTTATCTCCAGTATAAGGAGGCTTTCCGAAAGCTCTGGATGTTCACTGATAAACTCAGAAGCTTCCAGAGAGCCCTCTGAGGAGTCATCAAAACCCTTTCCTCCATCATTTGCTTGGACCCACCGCTGCCTTCAACAAGGTTGTTCCCTGCCTCCCTTCCATCATCCTCGCGGGGCCCAAGCTTCAAGGCAGCTGCCAGGAGCTTCCAGCAGATGTACCTGAATTCTTGTCCTCCAGCTTGATGTAGGCCACGTTCCCTCGGGCTGTGATGCGCATCCGGCCGCTCCAGGCAGGCTGGTCCAGCTGCCATTCCGCAGCCCTGGAAGGGGGAAAGGGAAGGGGAGGCGGTCAGGCCCCCGAGGGCCGGCCGAGCCTCTGTCGGGCCCTTG